CCAAGGCTGTGGGCTCGGTGGGTCCCCTCATCCCTGCAGGCCATGGATGGGAATGGACAGCCTGGAGCTCCTCACAAATAGGGAGTCTCTTTGGGGGGAAATCATGGAAAATTCCTCCAGATTTCAAACTGTGAAACCCTCCAGCCACTGAACCACCCTCCTTCATCACACCGGGTCAGCAGTAGTGGGGACGTGCCACGCTAGCAAATCAGTGAGCCCGAGGAAGGGCTCGTGGGGACCCCTGATTTATAGCCAGTTGGTCAAAAGTACAGGTCACAGCCTGGGACTTGCGAATGGCATTTATTTCAGGTATTTCGAGTCCTAAAAGAACTGTCAGGTATTTGGTGTGTGTCAGGAGAGTTGGAGAATTGCTTCATGTTAGGGGATAACACGCACATTTGGTGTCAGAAATGATGAGTATGAGAAAAACGTTTTTTCCCTTCTTTTCCACTTGCTTCTCTGACTGTTGCATTTGCCTGGCTCTTCTGCTGAGCCATTATAACAGCATCTACCAATCCCCCAAAGACTTGCAGTTTTTGCTCCACAAAACAAAGCTCTCAAGATTTGTAGTTGAGGGTCATTTCTCCAGCAGTGGGTACTACAAGGGCAGTGAAGAGGAGGAGGGTTCTAGGCCCCTGAGGAGGAGATACCCACCTCAGCCCAAGGACCCGAGGAACTGAGAAGGTTCCCAGTTCAAGTTCAGAGGCCTCCTCGCTCTCCAGCAAGCACGGTGCCTGTGATCTGGGACTGATTGAAGGGCGTGGATCATGGTACTAGAACCCTGTGGGGGGGGGTTCCTCTCTCTCTCACTCGCTCGTGGAAGAAATAAGTGAATATATTTATAACAGAAAAATGGGGCCGGCTGGCAGTGTGGTGGGTAAGGCATCTGGATCCCACATGGCCAACTTTGTCATTTGAGCCTTGGACCTAGTGGCTTGAAAAACATATTGGGCATGTGTGTGTGTGTGCCCAAAATCCTGGGAGTAAAATAGAAAGGTATTGTGGTGTGATGGTCCCCTCTGAAGGGTGCTTTCTCAGTCTGCCCCACCAGCTCTCTCCAGCATGTACCCTACAGCAAAATTTTAAAATAATAGATGAAGAATCAGGGGCCAGAAGCTAGCATAATGGTTATGTCGCTGAACTTCCACATGACTGACTTCAGTTCGAGTCCCAGACCTGGTGGCTTGAAATTTATACTGTGTGTGTGTGCGCGTGTGTACCCAATATCCTGGGAGGAGAATGGAGGGGAAGGAATTGTTGCAAGGCTATGCCCCCAGGGGGTGATTTCTCACTTTCCCTCTCACTGTCTCTGTCTCTTTGTCTCTCCAGCAAGCACATGTGCCCTAAGGTCAAAACCATTTAAAAATAATAATAAATAGGAGCCGGCAGGGGGCCTGGGGGGTAAGGTGCTGGAGCACCCAATGGATCTGGCGGCTTGCTTTCTCATTTCCCCACTCACTGTCTCTTTCTCTCTCTCTCTCCAGTGAGCATATGTGCCCTAATGCAAAAACCTCTATAATAATAATAATAGATTAAAAACCTCCAGATCTAGGACTCAAACTGAGGCCGGTCACGTACAAGTCCAGCAACATAACCATCACGTCATATGCTGGTTCCCAGCATGTTTTTCAAGCCGCTGGGTCTGGGACTCGAATCGCTAAGTGGGCTGTGGGGGATCCAGTCACCTTAACCACCACACCATCTGGCTGGCCCTATAGTTTCTTTTTTTTTTTTTTTTTTGGAGAGGTTTTCGCTATAGGGCGCGTGCGCTCACCAGACAGACGGAGAGAGACACAGAGACAGAAAGCAAGAAATCAGCCCCCAGGGGGGATGGTCACACCGCAATCCTTTCTCCTCCATTCTCTTCTCGGGATCTTGGGCATGCATGCACACGTGCCCGGCGTGAGTTTTAAGTCACCGGGTCCAGGACACGAACCACGGTCGACTACATGGGAGTCCAGCGACATAGCCATTATGCTAACTGCTGGTTCCCTGCCCCTATAGTTTCTTCATAATGCATATTTTCTGTGAACTCTTTGAAAACCCCTCCTAGTGTACTCGGAACAGATTCCAAATGAACAAATCACCTTTTCTCTGGCACCTGCTGGAAGCAGTACTTCCTTTAACACAGGGCCTTCCCATGAATCGCCATTCAGTTTTCCCTATCCTGTGGCCATGGCGTACTAGGTGTGGACACACTTTGGGATATAGATGGCCTTCCAGAGACATTGTTCTTTGTTTCTTATTCATAGCTGTTACAAGATTTTGACTTCTAGGGACCAGCAGTTGGCATAATGGCTGTGTCGCTGGACTCCCATGTAGTCGACCGCGGTTCAAGTCCCAGACCTGATGGCTTAAACTCATGCCGGGTGCGTGTGTGTGTGTGCGTGTGCGTGCGTGCCCAAGATTCCAAGAGGAAGCTGGAAAAGGGATTGCAGCGTGGCCATCCCCCTTGGGGGGTGTTTTCTCGCTTTCTATCTCTGTCTCTCTCTGTCTTTCTGGTGACTGCATGTGCTCTATATCAAAAACTTCTCCAAAAAATAAAAAATAAAAAAAGATTTTGACTTCTATAGTCCTGAATCAACAAGGGAAGAGTAAAGAGCAAATCAAAGAGAGAGAAAGTAGAATGGCTGTTGCTGGGGTGCAGGTGGCGGGGTGGTTAAGGTGCTGGACTCCCACGTAGCCAACTATGGTTCGAGTCCTGGGCCTCACTGCTTGAAAATTATGTTGGGCGCATGTATGAGTGCCAAAATCCCAGGAGGAGGATAGAGGAGGAAGGACTGGCTTGGCTGTCCACCCAGGAGGTGACTTTTCACGTTCCCATTACTATCTCTCTTTGGTGAGTGCATGTGCCCTGTGGCAAAAAAAAAAAAAAAAACAGAAAAAGTATAGAGTTTTATAAGATGAGAAGAGTTATACAGATGGATAGTGGTAACAATTGTACAACATTATGAATGTATTTAATACCATCAAACCTATTTATACTCAGAAATAGTTAAGATGGTAAATTTTATGTTATGTGTACATTTTACAATTAAAAAAATAGAAAAAGAATTTAAAAAGAACTAAAGAGAGTGGCAAACTTTTCTGTGCTCAATCTTCAGGCATTTGATTTTTGGATTTAATACAGAATTCTTTTTTTTTTGAGAGTTTTTTCAGTATAAGGCATGTGCGCTCACCAGACAGACAGAGAGAGACAGAGAGACAGAAAGCAAGAAATCACCCCCTAGGGGGGATGGCCATGCCACAATCCCTTCTCCTCCATTCTCCTCTCGGGATCTTGGGCACGCACGCACACACACCCGGCGTGGGTTTTAAGCCACCGGGTCCGGGACGCGAACCGCAGTTGACTACGTGGGAGTCCAGCGACATAGCCATTACGCTAACTGCTGGTTCCCCAAAATTCATTTTTTAAGAAAGTTCACTTGAGGGCCGGCAGGTGGCTTGGTGGTTAAAGTGCTGGACTTCCACATAGCCAACCATGGTTTGAGTCCCAGATCTGGTGGCTTGCTTTCTCACTCTTCCTTTCTCTCTGTTTGTCACTCTCTGGTCAAAATTAAAGAAGCATAATAAACAAAACTATTTATTATAGTTTTAAAAAACTATAATCTTTTTTTTTTTAAAAAAAAAAAAAGAAGAAGAAGGAAAAAGGAAGAAAGTTCCCTTGGAAGTCATCACTTTTTTTTTAGAGAGATTTTTGCCATAGAGCACATGTGCTTGCTGGAGAGACACAGTGACAGAAAGCAAGAAACCACCCCTGCAATCCCTTCTCTTCTCTTCTTCTCTTGGGATTTTGGGCATGCACACCCCTTTGTCCAGTATGAGTTTTAAGCTGCTGGGTCTGGGTCTCAAACCAAAGTTGATCATGTGGTAGTCCAGCACCTTAACTACAATGCCACCTGAGACCCCAAGTCATCCCTTTAACTCATGATTTAAAATCTTCAGTCTAGGCCCAGCTGCGTTGGTACGCACTGGATGCTGTCCTCACAGAGAGGCCCTGGCTTGATCCCTGCCCACCCTAAGAGTTGGGCATGGTAGCAAGCACCTCTAATCTCAGCCACTCAGGAGGATGAGGCAAGAGGTTCTTGAGTTTGTGGCCAATGTGGGCAACAGAGTGAGATCTTGTCTGAAAAACGCACAGGGCCAGATGGTGGCACAGTGCTTAAACACAGTGCTCTGAGGCACCCGTACATGGGAAGGTTCCTGGTGCAAGTCCAGAGCCCTCCCTGAGAATGGCAGGTACACATGTGCCCATGACCTGGGGCTGGTGGAAGGTGGATTGTGGCATTAGGACTCTGTTAGGAGTGCCTATCTCTTTCTCTGTTCCTCTTTCTCCATCTCCTCATGAAAAAAAAATTTAAAGAATTATTTTATTTAACTTTATCTATTTATTTTCATTTGACCAGAGAGGGGCAGAGTGAGAGAGAGTGAGAGGGAAAGTGAGAAAGCAAGTCACCAGGTCAGGGACTTGAACCGTGGTCAGCTATGCGGGAGACGAGTGCCTTAACCACCAAGCCACCTGCCAGCCCCTGAAAAAAAAATTAAAATAGTAATAAACTTTAAACCATGAATATCCCCCTAAAATAATAGTAAAAATAAATAAAATCTTCAGTTAACAGCGGTGCTTACAGTCATCTTCTTCTTCCCTACGTTTGATAAACACTGGGAGGGGAGGGTGTGGGAGGAAGACAAAGCAGGAGTGAAATTTAGGATAGGTCCTCTGGGGAAAGGAGCCAGAAAACTAGGCCTGTTTCCGAGGGTATGTACCCAGCTTGCTCTTAGCTGGAGGGAGAGAGAAGAGGAGCACCCTGCAGGTGCGCCCTGGGGGTGGTGACAGCCTCCGAGAGAGATGTGGGCAGGAGGCAAGGTGAAGGCAAGGTCAGAGAGGAAGGTGGGGCTGGCTTCACCCGAAAACTGCTCCGTCAGGCATCAGTTCCCTGTGAGTGTCCTACCCCCCTCCCTGGGGCCAGCTTAAAAAAATACACTAAGAGAGGCAAAAGGACCCCATCTGAGGTTATTTTTATTGGTATCATTATTAAACATGCTAAAATCACATAGAATGGCTATTCCGTTTCTGCCCTGACTCCACAGTGGGACAGGTGGGAACTATGGGGTCACTTGGTTCACGTGGTCTCTGGGGATGGTTAGACTTGGGGGTTAGAGGTAGGCAGGTCTGCAAAGCCCCAAGAATCCCTTTCATCATATGCTTTTACCGGCAGGAACGTGGCTTCAGAGCTCTTCCTCTTTACCTTTCGCTCCTCCTTCAATCTGTCTTACTTCTCCCTTCCTTGCCTGTGGCTCCTGGAATCTCTTCTACCTCTGCCCCTGGCAGTCCCAGACTAGTTGAAAAAGGAAATGTTTTCTTGCCTCTGCCAGTCCCAGTTGGTCTCTCTTCCTTGGACCTAGCTAATCTACTCAGCATGCACTAAGGTGATAAGCTGCTGGACTTAGGGCTGCTTAGGGGGAATGGAGACTCCAGTCCCTGCTGGGTCTTGAGCACAGCTGGAACGGAACTGGTGGTGCAGAGGGATCTGAGGGAGGAAAGTTACCCGACGTGTGTACGCTGTCCTGGCAGAACTGCACAGAGTCCAACCCTCAGGGCTTCCCCCTCCTTCCCACAGTGTGTGTGTGTGTTGGGGGTTGCAGAGGTCTCTCAACCTGCAAGCCTGTTGTTCTTGAACCTCACAGGACAGGCATAGCTACTTAGGCAGGCGCCTACCAACTGAAGTCTTCACCTTCCCCACGTTCTTGGTGTCTCTCCTGCTGGGATGGCTTGAGGGGGGCCAGCGAAGAGAAGATAGAAAGGCTGAGCTTGCCTCCAAGAGAGGCCAGAGGGACAAAGAGACAGGGCTGTGGAAACGGGGGGAGAAGGGAGCAGGGTGAAGGGCAAGGCCAGCCATTCAGGAGCTGGGATCCTTTTTCCTTTTCTGGAATCGCCGGAACTTGCCCTGAATGGCCAGGGCAGCCTTCTCTGTTTCCGGTGCCGTCAGGTCAATGTCAATCTCCTCCTCCTCCTCAGCCTTCTTGGCATTGCCAGCTTTCCCTGCAGACAGTTGGGAGACTCTGCATGAGTTAACCTGACTTACCCAACCCCAAAACAGTCGTTAAGTCCCCCTGGGCTAAGTTCCATGGAGCCCCCTGATTTTTGCCAGGCTGAGAATTACTTAGGGGGGCTTGGCTACTCTCAGACCAAACAACGAACGTCTGCCACTGCTTACTCCTGAATCCTTTGTGGAGGGTTCATAAGAAAATAGACAAGCAAGGGTTAATAAGAGAGGGCCTAAAATGAGCCTTACCGAAGGACTTAGGCAAACTTACTCAGGTTAAGGGCCCAAGATAAAGCACCCTCCTGTACACAACAGATAAGCTTTCACAACAGGGAAAAGAGATATTGGCGGGGGTTGGGGGGGGACTCCTCTGGTGCAACCTCTAGCAATCACCAATCACTTGCTGCTGACAGACCCTCTGCATTCCTGAGAAATGGCCAGCACCCCCATACAGACCAGGGCGTGCAGCTATCCTTACCGTCCCCCTAGAACCGAGACCTAAAGAGGAGACCTTCCCCACCAAAAGGCTTGAACCTGCAGAGGCCTCGTCCTAGGCCCTCTCGCCCTGGCTCTGAGCTTCAAATTCTGCTCTTCCTCATGTTTATGTTTCTGGTAGATTCATTCACCACCTGTTCACGGCCCTACGGCCCCGTTGCACCGCTGCACCCTTCAGTGTAGGTCCCACAGCACACGCGCCTTGCCTCAATTTCCGACTGAGGGGTAGCTGGGATGATCTGGTGAGTCATGTTACCATTGTACCTGCCTCCCCCTCTAGACTCAGTGCTAAAATCAAAGCATCAGCGAATACAGGAAGGTTTACATCTTAGGAAAAAGTGGAAAGAAGCCTATAGATACTGTAGTCCTAGGCCTTTGTTTTATGTATTTATATTCTTATCCCTTTTACATCTGTCACTAGAAGCTTCTAGACTTCCAGCCCTACTGCCCTGTTTGTCTTTATGTCCCTACACCCACCTGGTTAGCCCAACTCTACTCACCTTTTTCCTCTGGGCTAGATGCTTGGTTGGTTGCTGGGGATGTTTTGGTGCTAAGCTGGGGAAAAAAAATCAGAATATTAGCTATTCATGCAAGTAATAAGCTGCCATCCCCTTAAACTTCTTAGATGCTGCTCAGTCCTCCTATTACTAGTGCATTTCCCTAGTCTGTTGAGTGCTGTGACCTGCATGGCTGAATGCAATTTTTGAGTGGAGGGCTATGGATTAGAGAATAAACGTAAAATATGGGGGCCAGTAGGTGGTGTGGTGGTTAAGGCACTGGACATTCCCACATGGCTGACCATGGTTCGAGTCTTGGACCTGGTGGCTTGCTTTCTCACTTTTCTTCTCTCTGTGTGTCGTTCTCTGGTCAAATTAAGATAAATGAATAAATACAATTCAATAATTTTTTTAAAAAAACATAAAATAGACAAAGACATATAAGTAAAGAAAAGCGGGGTGGGGGCCTCAGGTGGCATGGGTGGTGAGAACATGTCCCCTATAGCAAAAAACTCTCGAAAAAAAAAAGGAATTATTTATTTTATTTATTGTTTTTATTATTATTATTTTATTTGACCAGAAAGAGACACAGGGGGAGAGAGGAGGAAAGTGAAAAAGCAAGCCACCAGGTCTAGGACTTGAACCATGGTCAACCACGTGGGAGTCCAGGATCAGGAGCTATTTTTAGAACAAGTTTAAGATGCCTATTAATCCAAGAGGAGATGCTTTTTTATTTTGCTGACAACTAGATTACCAATTTATTGATTTGAAATTAGAAGACAGTTACTAAATAATCCAGAATATTTGTGTTTTCAAGTCAGCACATGCTTTCTTAGAAGTTGGAAGTCTACTTGGAGATCTTTGTTTAAGCAATTAAGTAATATTGAAGAAAAGTGAAAGAAAATAACTTGGGCTAGAGATGCAGAGATTTGCCTTTGCTGAGTTTTCTTCACCTCTGCAACATTTTTTCAAAAAAATTTTTGCAAGAGGGCATGTGTACTCCCTAGAGAGAGACAGAGAGAAAATGGGAATGTGCAAAAGCCCCCTCCCCATGGAGAACGGTTAAACTGCAGTCCCTTCTCCTCTATTTCCCTGTCCTTTCAGGATTTTGGACACACATGCACATGCGCCCCGCATGTTTCTCAAGCTGCCAGTCCAGGACTGAACTGTGCTGTTGGCCATGTCCATCCAGCTACCTTAGCCACCACTGGGCTGACCCCGTTTCTGCGGGGTGATTACTGGAACGCCCCAGAGTTTGATCCTCTTTTCTTCTTTATCTAATTTCACTCCTTTAGAGATCTCCTCAGCTCAGCCTCTCTCTCTGGTGAGTGCACATGCCCTCTCGCAATGAAAAGAAAATAGTTCAAGAAGAAGAGAGTAACTATGTTGAATGCTGCGGTAAACCACCTAAGATGAAGACCAGACTGACCACTGACTTCTGCTGTGTGGTGATTATCAGAGACATTAAGATGAAGAGAGAAGAGAAAGAGAGGAATCCAAGCAGCCAATAAGAGTTCCCCCCAAATGGAAATTGGGTGTTTTTAGGGAATATGGGGTCACAAGATGATTTTATTTAAGAAGACAGAATGACAGAATGTTTGTCTTTTTATGGAAATGATCCAGTAGGGAAGGAAACTCCATAGGAGAGAAAGGACCACGGCTGGAATAGGGGAAAGGGTGGCCTTGAACAGGGGTTAGAACAAGTCATCCACAGTAACCTGAAGGAAGGCAGGGCAACAGCAGAAGGGCCCAGATGCAGGCAGGCAAATGCAGATGGTCTCCACTAACTGCTTCTGGCCGTCCCCCCTCCCCCCACCAGAGGTCATGTGAGCTCCCCAGAGAAACACAGAGACAGGGAGAGGGAGGAAGCATCCCCGAAAGGAATGATCACGCTGCCATCTCTTCTCCATCCTGTCAGGATTTGGGGCACACCTGCACACATGCCTGACATGTTTTCCAAGCGACTGTGTCCCAGACTCGAACTCTGAGGTTGACATGTGGGATTCAGCTTCCTTAACCACCCAGCCATCAGTTGGCTTTGCTTTTTTTGAAATAAATAGGTAAGAAGATCATCATCCAAGAGGAGAAGATGAGAGCCGAAGGACGAAGGAGAGACAGGGGAGAGCAGGAGAGGAAATGGTCTAGAGAAGTGAGACCAGCCACCAGGTAAGCGTGTTTTTCCAGCTTCTCACTCAGATGGAGAGTTAAATGTAATAGTTATCTCCCCTCCTCAGAATCCTATCAGGTCGTTGGGAAAGTTGTGACGTGTTTTTCAGTGCAAACACGGGTCACGACTTTCCCAACAACCAGCAGTAATGGAGCCTCTTCATCTGGACGGTTATGGTTAGGATAATGGTTTGTCTTTCCCAAAGGTACAAGTTTGGAGTTAGGCCTTGATGAGTGGTGGCTCTATATCTCCCAAGGGACATAGGCTGGGGGTTGGCTATACAGGAAAGATGTTAAGTGAAAACTTGAGCCATTGGGACCAGCAGTTATCATAAGGGCTATGTTGCTGGACTCCCACATAGTCAACCGCGGTTCAAGTCCCGGACCCAGTGGCTTAAACTCACACGAGAAGAGAAAAAAGAAAAGAAAAGAAAAGAAAAGAAAAGAAAAGAAAAGAAAAGAAAAGAAAAGAAAAGAAAAGAAAAGAAAAGAAAAGAAAAGAAAAGAAAAGAAAAGAAAAGAAAAGAAAAGAAAAGAAAAGAAAAGAAAAGAAAAGAAAAGAAAAGAAAAGAAAAGAAAAGAAAAGAAAAGAAAAGAAAAGAAAAGAAAAGAAAAGAAAAGAAAAGAAAAGAAAAGAAAAGAAAAGAAAAGAAAAGAAAAGAAAAAGGAAAAGAAAAGAAAAGACAACTTAGGCCTTTGGGTGAGATAAAGCCATCAGTGTGGGGCCCCATGACTGAGTTCTGGTGTGGATATAAGGGAGGAAACAAGGCAGGCAGAGTCCACATAGATACAGACCTCGCTGTGCTCTGCTCAGTTATGTGCCTGCCATTTGGTAATGCCTGTGGGATCGAGTCCAGTCACCAGAGGGGTTGAGTTTTGCAAATACACCTACTTCCTTTACAAATCACCCAGTCTCAGGCACGTCTGTTACAATGCAATAGTGAACCAAGATAAGATTTTGTCAGTCTCAAGGAACAATTTATCTTGAGACAGGGTCACTCCCATAGGCTACTTTGTGCCTGTGGAGTCTGTTTCCTTATTTTGCAACTCTGCGTACTTCATATTTGTCAACACTCAGGCACTGGGAGCTTTCACAGATGCGTTCTCATCCAATCCTAGGAATACAGCTCAATGGAGTATACAGTTGGCCTCTGGATTGGTGGGTTTCACATGGATTTAACCAACCACAGGTAGAAAATATTTGGGAGGCCAGCAGGTAACTTAGTGATTAAGATGCTGGACTCCCACGTGGCCAACCGTGGTTCGAGTCCCAGACTCATAGACTTGAAACTCATGCTGAGTACATGTGCATGCGTGCCCACAATCCCAGGAGGAGCGTGAAGGAGAAGGGATTGCGGTGTGGGCATCCACCTAGAGAGGGGGTGATGTATTGATTTCTTTCTCTCTGTCTCTTTCTATCTGTCCGGTAAGCACAAGAACCCTATAGCAAAAATCCCTCTCTATGGGACCAGCAGTAACATAGTGGGTAAGGTGCTAGACTCTCACATGGTTGACCTGGTTCAAGTCCTGGATCTGGGGGCTTGAAACTCCCTCTGGCCAGTTGTGTGTGTGTGCCCAAAATCCCAAGAGGAGAATAGAGGAGAAGGGCCTGCTGCATGGCCATCCTCCCTGGGGGGGTGATTTACCACCTTATCTCTGTCTGTGTCTTTGGGAAGTGCACAAATGGTCTATAGTAAAAAATTTTCCTCTCTCTTAAAAAGAAGAAAAAAGAAAAGACAATACATGGAAACAAAAGAATACAATAAAAAATACAAATTAAACAATACAGTATAACAACTATCAGTATTTACATAGCTTTACTTTATATTTCATATTATAAATAACTTCGGCAATTTACCTTATATAGGAGGATTTGTGTAGGTTATATGCAAATATCATGTCTTTTTAAAAATAATTATTTTATTTAACTTTATTATTATTATTTTATTTTTATTTTACCAGAGAGGGACAGAGTGAGAGAGAGAGAGAGATAGGAAAAGTGAGAAAGCAAGCCGCCAGGTCCAGGCCTTGAACCGTGGTCTGCCATGTGGGAGTCCAGCACCCTTACCTACCATGTCACCTGCTGGCCCCCAAATACCATGTCATGTTATATAAGGCACTTGAGCATCTTTGGGGTTTGGCAACTGCAAGGGGTGAGGGGACTCCTAGCCCCAATTCCCCATGGATACCAAGGGACACTTGAATAGTTTTTCTTTTTTTTAAAGAATGATCTAATTTAGCTTTATTTACTTATTTATTTATTTTAATTTGACCAGAGAGGGGCAGAGAGAGAGAGAAAGTGAGAAAGCAAGTCGCCAGGTCCAGGACTTGAACCATAGTCAGATATGTGGGAGTTCAGTGCCCTTAACCACCATACCACCTGCCGGCCCCTACAATTGAATAGTATTATCCCCCATTTTACAAATACAAATAGTTTTAAATTCGTATTTATTTATCATTACTATTATTTTAGTTTGCTATAGGGCACGTGAACTCACCAGAGAGACACAGAGAGGGAGAGAGAGAAAAATTGAGAAAGCAAGCTACCAGGTCTGGGACTCAGAATGCCATTGCCCGTGTGAGAATCCAACACCTTAGCCACCGTCCATCTGCTGGCCCCCAAATACAAGCCATTATTGAATGACTGCCGATGGAAGGATTGTGCCTTAAGAAGCTGATGGACTCCAGTTTATTTTCTGTTAAAGTTGCTGTTTCTAACCCTACCTTGATGAATATTTACCACACACTTATTATAGAAGAAACAGAAGATTCATTTGACAAATATGTCAGTGCCTAATACATCTGAATATTGTTCTAGACATTGAGGAATACAGCAGTAGCAAAATAACGTCTCTGCACTTACTAAATATATTGGTTAGTGACAAATGTCAT